CTGACGAAGGGTCTAGACCCGAAACGTCAGCTTTCCTGCTCCTCTGATGCTACTTGGCCTGCTGTGTTCATCCAGCTCTACACCTTGTTATCTAAAGAATGGTATGTGTCTTTCTTTATAATATATTGTAATGGATGTACCTGACTGGGTAGTAATTCTGCAATGGACAGGAAACAGCGAGTGGGAATAATGGGCTCTTTTTCAGGTTGGCAACCTGTAGCCAGTGGGGTTCCATAGGGAACTGTGCTGGGACCGCAACTGTTTACATTACATATACTAATGACTTGGAGATAGGAAGCGAATGCACCGTAGCCAAATTTGCAGATAACACAAAAATATGTGGAAAGGATAGTTGTGAGAGGGATACAAATAATTTACAGTGGGATATTGGTAAGTAAGTGGACAAAAAGTTAGCAAATGGAGTATAATGAGAAATTGTCAATTTTGGAAGGGAAAATAAAAGAACCTAGTATTATTTAAATGGAGAAAAACCGCAGAAAGTTGCAACACAAAGGAGCTTAGGGGTGCCCGTACATAAAATACAGAAAGCTAGCATATAGTATTGGAGTGAGGAAGCCTTACTACAACTGTACAAAGTTCTGGTGAGACCACATCTGGAGTCCTGTGAGCAGTTTTGGTCACTTTATCTAAGGAAACATATTATTTCATTGGAGGCATTTCAGGGAAGTTTCACTGGGATGATCTCTGGTATGGATGGATTATCTTTTGAGAAAAGGCTAATCAGGTAGGGACTCTACTCACTGGAGTTTAGGAGAATGAGAGGTGAAACATATAGGGTTCTTAACTGGCTTGACAGGGTAAATGTTGAGAAAATGTTTTCCCTCATGGAAGCATCTAGGACCAGGCGGCATAGTTTCAGAATAAATAGGTGTCGTTTTAAGATTGAGATGAAATTGAACTTCTTCTATTAGAGGATTGAGACTCTTTGGAACTCCTGGCCAAAGAGAGCTGTGGGGACAAGAGACCTTGTGTATATTTAAGGCTAAAATAGATAGATTCTTGATCAGTGAGGAAATCAAGGGGTATGGGGAAAAGGCACAAAAGTGGACATGAGGACTGTCAGACCAGCCATGTTCCTATTGAATCATGGAGCAGGCCCAAGGCCTGTTCCCTTTTCTATTTCTTATGGTATCATGGTCTTAAATGCATAGTCTAAAAACAAATATTTAGGCCATTGCAATCAGAAACTTTAAGCTTGATTGTACAGCCTACTCAACATCTTTGTGTCTTGATACACACGTGTTCTGAAGTAGTTATTAATTCCAACATAAGTCTTATTTCAGTATTACAGCACTCAATCAATTCTGCAACTAATTAAATAATTGCAGTGAAGCATAATTTAGACAAATCCCTAAGTGCTGAAATGTATCACTGCCCAAACACTTTAAGTTAGATTAATATTTCAGCAGGCAGTTTATTCATAGCCCTTAAAGACATTCTGTTTGGATAGCTTTCTCCAGGGCTTCAACCCTCACTGCTGTAACTTTGGAGGAAGAGACTAGGAAATTGGTATAAATGGTAGTAAAATTGTCCAGTGAGCGTTTTGTCTGTTAAACATTTGATGTGACATTATTGATCACTACATATGTATACATTGACAATGGTAGTATGGTCGTATGTTACTGCATTAGTAATTTCAAGGCCCAGCCTAATTCTCCAGAGATTGGAGTTCAACCTGTAGCATTGCAGCTGGGAGACATTTAAATTTCATGAGGTCATAGATCTGAAATCATTAATAATGATCCTGAGATCACCAGGTTGTTGATAAAAATAAAACGTGTAATTCACTAATGCCTTTTAGAGAGGAAATCTGCCACCCTTTCTAATTTGTCTCGCAGAATGCACTGTGCTTGTTAACTGACAGAGTCCTCACCCAGCATCATTTAAAATATATTTTCAGCAGGTGTTGCTGGTTTGTGGTCAAAAGCAGAGAATTTGGAAGTCTACACACACAGCATCAACAGTCATTCCTCAGTTCACCATCTTAATGATTTTCCCAAAATGTTTAACAAGCAAGTCAACATGATAGTTATTGGACCAGTAATCCAGAGCCTGGACTAATGCTTCAAAGGTGAGTTCAAACACCATCAGACCAAATGGAGAAGTGAGATTCAATTTATTAAATCTAGAATAAAAGCCAGTCTCGGTAATGGTTACCATAAAATTACTGGATTGCAATAAAGAGGCATCTGGTTCACTAATGTCTTTTACGAAAGGAAATTCGTCATCTTTAAAGTCTGACCTACGCATGATTCCATGCAATGTGGTTGACTCCATACTGTCCTCTAAAATGGCCTAATAAGACATTCAGTTGAACTCATCTACTGCAGACTTCACACTTTGAGAGTACTCACACCAGATTGACTCAGCAGTTCAAGAATGCTGCTCACCAACAAGGGCAGTTCAAGACGAGTAGTAAATGCTACCTTGTCAGTGTTGCTCAGATCTCAAGATCAAATAACAAAAATAAAAAGCTTAATATTATACTTGATTCCGATTGGCATAATTTCCATATTCATAACACAACAAACAGACTCAAGTTCTAAGTTCCTAGATTCATCTATAGTCATACATCCATTTTATGTGAGACATTTTCTTGGTCCCAAGGCAGTGGGCTCAGAAGCAGGGTAAGTGCAAAAATGGAAAAGCCATAGTAGGAAAGTTCCCTAGTACGTTCCCAATATCAGGGACCATTCTCAGCTGCCAGCCGGAAAGCAGGTTAGCTGCCCAGTCCACAGAAGTGGATAGTCAACTTGCATTATTAGGCCCCAATTAAGAGCTAGTTTGCACCATCTCTATCAGTTTGCTTTTTGCAGAAGTTACCAGCTGAATGGCAGCAGATTTACACCATCAGGCCATGGAGCTATCAGAGTTGGAGGCTGGAAGCCAACAAAAAAAAGCCAAAATTGTGGAGTTTGCACATTCTCCCCATGTCTACACGGATTTCTTCGAAGTGCTCCGGTTTCCTCCCACAGTCCAAAGATGTGGACATTAGGTGGATTGGCCATGCTAAAAATTGCCCCGTCGTGTCCAGTGATGTACAGGCTAGGTGGATTAGCCATAGGAAATGCAGGTTTACAGGATAGGATAGGGGCATGGGTCTGGGTGGGCTGCTTTTCAGAGGGGCGGTGTGGACTCGATGGGCTGATTCTATGATTCTATGATGATAAAACATTTTAGTCTTAGCTGGTATCTATTGATTGGAGGGGTTTTCCTTCCAAACCATTTGATCACTATTCTAGATTCCAGCTTTCTCCCCATGATGTGCAGACTAACCACAGTACCTTCACATTGAAACAACTTCAAGATTCCTGACCTGTTTCAGCAGAGCCCCCTCTCCTGGTATGACTCCTGAGAATCTTTGATCTGCTGGTCTGTTGGATTTCGGCCAGCAGCATTGAGCCTGTCTCCAACCTGCTCATCTCCCCAGTCCTTAATTGGACAGCAAGCCCAGAGATGGACAAGTAGGAGACCTCCAGCAGGAATATTTTTCCACTGGTCTGGGTCCCAGTATATCAGGGCTCAGAACACCAACTCAGGGTCCTGCAGTTTAGAGAAAATCCAGCCTTGTATGTCTGATGAATAACTGAGGTAAGAGCTTAAATGATGCACATGTGAGATCTGAATACAGTTTGTACATATTAGAATGAAACTGGTACTCATCAGCAGCACAAACTGATTTACCCTCTCACTTAACATCACAAAAAAGTGACATCATGATGCACCCTGCTCACTTTGATTTAAACATTCAGTCTCAAAATCCATATGTTCTCTCAGTGACTAACAAATGGATCCTCAGCAAATCAGAGTGCCCAAAACAGCACCAAAGACTTAGCAGGTGCTCATTCCTCTTGTAACTCCCCAACTTCTTTCTGCAACTTTCTTACTTTTATCTTTCACTGATATTTGGCATTTGGATGTCACCAGCAAGGGCAGGATTTAATGTACATCTGTCCTTCCCTAGGTGATGAAGAGTTGGAGTAAGTGCAGCTTACTCTATTTCATCAGTGACCCACTGAATGTCTTCTTAAATCTTCACAGTTTCGTAAACAAATACCTTCCTTCCAAATGGAATCCAGTCTTGAGTGCATCCTCCTGGGCCAGGAGCTTCAGTGGGAGCAAATGTTGTGTTGATTGAACTGTTACTTCTTTCGCATATGAAAGGGAATGGATGCCCACAGTTCATGTCATTCCAGAACCCTTGAAAAAAAGAAAGGGGTACTTTTACACTTAGGACCAAAATGTACTTTCATCAACAGGTTTGTCATTCTTGAACGGGAATATTGAAGTGAAGTATGATAGTATTTATTTTTCCTCCCACTCATGGCCATGAAGATCATGATGTGTTCAAAGATTCAATGAGTCACATGGATATGTTCATGTTTTCATTTACTACTTTCTTTCACAAAAGTCATAAAGTCAATATGCCACAGAAGAAGGTCAAAGGCTCCTTCAAGTCCATGCAAACTCCCTGTACAGCAAACCAGTCATTCCTTCTCCTCCATTCTATCACATAATCCCTCAAGGTTTATTTCCCTCAAGTGCCTAATCAATTTTTTTAAAGTTATTAATCATCTCTGCTTCTACCATGCTTGTATGGAGTGAGTTCTATGTTTTTAATACTTGCTGCATTACAAAAATGTTCTTCCACCATTACCCCTTCATCTTTTGCCTAAAACCTTAAAATTTTGTCCTGTAGTGCTTGTGCTATCAGCTAATGGAACCAGTTTATCTTTGTCTACTGCTCTACATTACGTTGTACCCTGAATCAATCTCCCATCCACCTTAAGATAGATTTTAAGCTTTCCCAAACCTATCCTTATAGCTAAGGCATCTCATATTCTTCCTTAATGATGCTTATATATAAGCCTGAGGTAGACCTTTGGCTTCTCATCAAATCAAGGTCTATGGGGAGTCGGCAGGCAAGTAGAGTTAAGTCAGATGATCAGCCACAATTGTATTAATAATATAGAAGGCACTGAGCCATATTGTCATAGAGTCACAGAGTCATACAGCGCAGAAAAGGCCCTTAGGCCCATCGAGTCTGCACCAAAGTAACTGCCATTAAAGGTGCGCTAATCCCAATATTTTGCACTTGTCCCAAATCCTTGGTCTCCAATTCTTATGTTTTGTATATTCTTAGATGTGGCAACCAGCGCTGGACACAATATTCGAGTTATGACCTAGCAAAAATTTTAAAACAATTCAACATAACTTTGCTGCTTTTGTATTAAATATCTTTATTCATGAAGCTCACAGTTGTCTTCAGAAGACTTCCAAGCCATTTCTTTTCCCTGTTGATGGTCTTTTTGCCCTCTTTAAGTCATAGAAATTTACTGCAAGTAAGAAGGTTATTTGGCCCATCAAATCTGCACTGGTCATCACATAGCCTAATGCCACTTTCTAGCTCTTGGTCCATAGCCTTGTAGGCTATGTCATGTATAGTGAAACTCCAAGTTCTTTTTGAAAATGTCATGAGAGTGTCTATTTCTACCAGCCTTTTAGGCACAGAATTCCAGACTACCCACCATAATCTCCTCAAAACCCCTCTAACTTCTCAACCTAAACCTATACCTTCTGGTAATGGGGCCCTCAACAAGGTGAATGCAGCCTTCTTATCTGGTTTATCTGTACTTACTTTGACTAAAATCCCCAGTCTAGCATGGTATAATAGGCAGTAAGGTTCCGTCTTCAGTCCTGATCCATCACGATCTATTTCAATCCAGCCCAAGTGGATGACGGTCCTCCTTAAATGTACTTTGCCAGCCCATCTTCTTTCCCCTCTCCAGCATGTCCATTCTGTTGCAACTTTGGTAAGATGTACATCCAGGCCCCAAAACAGATGTCCTGCCTATCTCAGTCACCTCTCTGTCATGATGCTGGTAGGTTTCTTTGACCAGTCCCATATAGCACTTCATCATTTTATACACTTCAATTAAATCTCTCCTCAATCTCCTCTGTTCCAAAAAAAACAACTCTAGACTATACAAACTCTCATTATTACTAATATTCTCCAGTCCTGACAACATCTTCATAAATCTCCTTTATATCTTCTCAATAGAATGGTGTCCAGAATTGAACACTTTTTTCAGCATTTTCATCATATTTTTAGCATAACCTCCCAGCTCTTACATTCTTTGCCATGGCTAATAAGGAGACATATCCCATAGACCTTCTTTGATAACCTTCTTCCCCTTTACTAATGCTTTCTTACACTCCCACTCGCACCAACGCAGCCCAATTAGTCTAGCCCTCTCCTTTAACATAACGCTACTGGTCCATGCTCTCCAGGTACTGTTCCAGCTCCCAAGATGGCAAAAATATATCTCGAAATACTCATGCAGTTCAACAATGGAATTTGACTGTCTCATTAACAAATATTTCATCCACACCCAGTAAGTGTATGGTAAAGTCTGAAATCAAGCACGGTATTTTCTTACCCAAGTGACTATACATGGTAACACAGTTCTCATCATTATTTGCAAAATTTGGTTCATGATTCTCCCAGGCAAGATAATCCACCGGGGTATTGTCTATCCATCTGGAAAAACATTTCAAAGACGATAGTGTCACTATCTCAGAAAATATCAGCCATTTACTTCATTCTACCTTATAATATTTGACGTATTTGCAGTCTTCTAAATGAGGTTCCAATTGCTTTCACCCTTCTTGTGAAGTTAAATTGAAACCCATGTATTCCATCCGTCAGCTGAAAACGTCAGTTCCAATGATATTTGCAATTATGGCATTGGCCTAAAATCCAATAATCCAACTGGTGATTTCCTATGATTGATGGTAGTAACGACAGTTTTTATTGCTAAACTCCTGTACTGCCTTTATGAGGTGCACTGTGTCAACTTTGACCTGCATTTGATTTCCAAAAGACAATAACAAAAACTGCTTGAGAGTTATCACGAAAGCACAGCTGGATACTGCAGTTGCACTGTAATTCAGTGTTAGTGATGCTTTGACCAGGTTAGAAGCAATGAATCAGCTCCCCTTTTATTTTACCTCCCTCGTTTGGCCACAACAAAGATAATTTTTTAAAAAATCTACTTTGATCTAGCTATATCCCATTTCAAAAAAAAAAGAACTATTTCAAAATTAAGGAGCCAACTACATGGTGTTCTTGAAAGAAAAGAATTTTATAATATACTATCATAAATATAATAAAACATAACATCAAACACATGCAAATATGGGCATAACTTTTGAAAAGGAAGAGTATATAGTAAAAAAGGAACCAATAAAAAATATGCAGTTTAAAAGTTCTGTGTGACCTTGAATTGTTAGATTTTAACCTGAGAACATATCTGTTAAATTGATGAGCTGTTCTCTTAGCATTAGCAAAATCCTTATATATTCTGGGGTTCTTGGAGAATTTACTTCATTACATGCTTTTTGAGAGGCTGAGAGAGACAGGGAGTGAGATAGAGCAAGCTTTCCAGTTCTGCTATCATGAAAACATCATTTTTCTGTCCATTTCATACAAAAGCAGTTGCTTGAAATACAGCATATCTATGTATTCCTGTGTTCAACCTTTTCATTTGGACAAGCCCAGCAGAGGTGGCGACATAGTGGTGTACAGTCCCAGGCCCCATGAAGTCTCATGGCATCAGGTTTAACATGGGCAAGCAAACTTCTCATTTAAAATACTTGCTTTGTTTTGAGTGGCTGCATAACCACGCTGAATGGGATAGACTTCAGATATAGCAACTCAAGGACTAGGCATCTGTGAGTTACCATGGACCATCAGCAGCAGAATATACTTCAACATCATGCCCTACAGGCTGGCATGTACTGCACTCTACCATCAAGCCAGGGGATCTGCCCTGGTTCAATGAAGCATGCTGGAGAGGACAAGCAGTGCCTGGCTTGTCTAAAAAGGAGGTGCCTTGTCTATGTAGTTTATAACACTGCAAGAGGTGCATTGATGCAGTGACCATGTAGCTTAGCCACTACAATAAAAAGCAGGAGGATTTGACTAATTTTAAATCCCTTCACTGGCCTGGAGCACTGAGACTGACTGTAGTTACCCAAATTGCACCTCGGTATAACTTCCTATCTTCAAGACTTCACGGAGATTAAGTATGATTATTGAGGTCTTCTTTAAGGAAGAAAATTTGCCATTCTTAACTGGTCTGGCCTGTACGTGACTCTAGACCACAGTAATGTGGTTGACTTTTTGCTTCCCATTGAAATAACCCAGCATGTCTCTCAGTTCCAAGACAATTAGGAATGGGAAACAAATACTGGTCTTGTCAGTGATGACCACATCTCGAGAATGAATTTAAAAAAGTGCTTAATTGTGAAGATCGATTATATGGTTTTATTTTCCCTATTTTCATGGTAACATGGATAAAGTTCTTTAAATCTACTGCTACAGAGAAAGTCCTACCCAACATCAACAAAAAGCTAATTCATCCCAGACCAGGGAACTAAGCACAAGATCTTTCAGTATCTTTGTATCTGCATCATAATAGGAAGCACACACACCCATTAAACGATAAAGAGAGCTAAAATCCCCAAGAATGAAATGGCAGGGTAAAGACAGAAAATATCATCTGAATATTCACTTACTTAATACTTTTATCAAGACCCACAAGCAAGCCAATGAAAAATTGAGTGTGAGGAACTTTCGAAATCTGCAATGATATTTTGGATTAATTTCCAGGTAATATATTTCAAGAAAGTATACAAATAAACAAGAAACAAATATAAGCATTTTCAAACAAAATCTCCATTACCTTTTTCCATAAAAGCAATCTTTCAGAAGCACTGTTAATTATAGCAAGATCGCCAAATCCCTTCCTGCAGAAAGCCCTCGCATCATCCCAAGACATTGCCTCGTGGTTAATGTAGTATTGTGAATCACCATTAACAAACCAGCCATCTACAGTGCTGCCTGTTAAACATTCAGGTTAGCATGAAGATTTACATAACACTCAGATGAGAGGCATATTATTGACATTGCATATTAATCGGACAGCAAGTGCTCAATGTATTTAATTTTTTTGTTATATGATTATAATCAAAATAGTTTCATATAGCCTTCAAATGATTCATGATAAGTGTCAATTCAATGCTTTTCTGGCTGCATTCCTTTGAAGCCAAAACAATGGCCAAATTTTGCTTTCAGCAATCAATATAATCTTCGGTGTTCATCCTGAGAGAAATTTTGCAGACTTGTCATCAGTGGTTTCTACTGATTTTTTTAACTGAGTCTGATCCAATGTGGTGCTATGTACAAGGCATTTGTGAGCAGGAAAAGCAAAAAGAATCACTGAAACACACAACACTGTAAACTAAGAAGCAAAAGCAGGAAACACAAATTACCTATTTGTACAGGAAACAAAACAATGGGAGAAGAGAAAAGAGATGAACAAGAAAAACAGATAAATTATGTTTTAAAAATATCTGCACCAGTCATTTTCTTTTATGGCAATGATACTGTGCACCTTTAAAATTAATTTTTCAGAGTCAGCATTGTTGTGCGGCAATCCAGGAAGGCAGCGGTGTTGTGGTAAAGTCGCTGGATCAGTAATAAAGAATCCCAAGCTAATAGTGCAGGAACATCGGTTTGAATCCCACTGTGGTAGATAGCAAAATTTGAATTCGATAAAAAATCTGGGATTTAAAGCTAACCTAATGGCAACTGTGGACTGATGGTTGTAAAAACTTATCTGGTTCACTAACACCCTTCTGGGAAGAAAATCTGTCAAGCTTGCCTGTTCTGTCTGTTATGTGACTCTCGACTCACTGCAATGTGATTGGCTCTTGACTGTCCTCTGACATGGCCTGATAAATCATTCAATTCAAGGAATAGTTGGGGATGGGCAATAAATGCTAGTCCAGCCACCAAAGGCTACATCCCACATAGAGAAAAAAATAATTTACTTGCTCCTAAAAACTGACTTACTCCAAACTGCACTAGCCCAAAAAGTTTTCAGTTGTTTCTCATGTGTAACTACTAGGCTCTTGTATAACAGTAGGAGTCTTGTGGCTCAGTGGCAGTGTCCCTACCTCCAAACCAGGAGGCTTGGGTTCACGTCTCACCTACTCTAGAGATGTATAGTAACATGAACAGGTTGGATAGAAAATATCTTAATGCCACTTCAGTGATCAATGCAAAGTATTTCATGGAAGGCTGTATCCTGAGGATGATGCACAGGTCTACAGAAGGATATAGACAGGTTAAGTGAATGGGTAAAATCTTGACAAATGAAGTACAATGTGGATGTGAGATATGCACTTCAGCATGAAAAATAGAAGAGTTGAATAATATTTAAATAGGAAAAGATTGCAGAAATCTACAGAAAAGAGGGACTTGGGAGTCCTCATCTATGAGTCATGAAAAACTCGCATCCAGGTTCAGCAGGTAATAGGAAAGGCAAATGGAATGTTGAGCTTCATTTCAAAGGGAATGGAACTTTTTTTTAATTCATTCACAGGATAAGGGTATCACCGGTTCAGCCAGCATTTAGTGCCTCCCTAATCGTTGAGAGTCGATCACATTGCTGTGGGTATGGAGTCACATATAGGCCAGACCGGGCCAGGATGATGGTTTAAAAACCGAAAGAACAGTTTTCCTTCCCTCAAGAACATTAGTGAACCAAATGGGTATTTTTTCCTGACAATCGGCAATGGATTTGTGGTTTCTTAATTTTAAATTTGTATTGAATTCAAATTCCATCATCTGCCGTGGCAAGATTCAAACCCAGATCTCCAGAACATTATCTGGGTCTTTGGATTAACAGTCCAGTGATTATACTACAAGGCCTTCACCTGTATAAAAATACAGAAACTTTGCTAAAACTATACAAGGCAGTCATCAGATGGCACTTGGAATACTGTGAACAGTTTTGGTGCCCTTATCTAAGAAAAGATATATTGGCATTGGAGGCAGCCCAGAGAAAGCTTGCCATGTTGATAAGTATATGAGCAGTTTTGACAATGGAAAATTGTAGGCACAAACATCAAAATGGGCCATAACAGAGGTTCTACATGAGAATTTGGTTTGTTGTGTTCTAGAAGTATCACCATGATATTCCACCCAGTTCTAACTACTTTGATTTAGTAATTAATAAGCAGTTTAATTATCAGTAAGAGTTAAAAGAAATTTTGATAAAGTGTTGACTCACCCTGTGAATCTGGATTGAAGGGTTCAGGCTTTACAGGTTGTCCTATGGAAACAAAATGATTTATTATTAGATATTAATTGAAGGTATTAGTTAATAAGTTAAGAATACTGTAGAGATAATTTTATTTTCTGAGATAATAACAAAAAATGTTGTTATTTTGACAGCTTTATAATCTTTTGATGGATTTTCTTGTTAATTACAATGGATTATAGAATTAATAGATTACAGATATGTGCATACTTAATCTTTAAATGTCAAATTACACTTCTCTCTTTCCCTCTTTCTTCATTGGCATACATTTGTCCTTAGTTTTCCTCTTCATGACTATCAGTGTTTTTCTTTTTCCATTCGTCACTTCTCAGCCATGCATTTTTTTCTTCAATCCTTCTGTCACTGCCACATTGCACAAAGACTACTCTTACATGAAATTATTTTGCCTATTGAAAACAAGAAACTAGAATTCTTGTTCCAACAAAGAATCCCTCAGCTATGCATTTGCCAGATTCACTTTAAGCAGTAGGACTTGATTTGGAGTGGCAGTGAAAGACCTACTGAATGTTGATTTTCATCAGCAAATACTGTCTGCCTGTGTGAACACATAATCATTAGAATGTATAATTAGCTAGAACTACTCCTCAAACGACAGAAAGCAGTTGCTGTAACCATAGAAAATCATTAATACTAAGTCGTCCTAAGCTTTCCTCACAATACTACTTTACGCTGTGATATTTAAAAAGCTAATACAGTATAAAACACAAATACCATCACTACACCAGTCACTATGGCAATAGAAGTGCTATTTCAAGTGACCTTAGGAAGGAAACAGACCCTAACAAAACTTCACTGCCGAAAATTTGTTAAACATTTCAGTTCTTTCACTCATGAGCAACCCCAGTGTAAATGCCATTCATTTAGTTAATGCCTAGAAGAATGAGCCAAATGGAAAACTCTTATCCCTGAATTATTTCTTTTGTCATCTTTTTCGCAAGTAGAATTAACATGTAAGCCTAGACCTTATTGACAGTGATTTCATTATAAGAAAATTTAAAGAGTTTGCACTAATTTTCCACTCTAATATTTTATTACAGTTATTAGCCCACATAACATAAGTCATGTTACACCTTCTTCCACGTAGGAGAGAGGATCGCCAATCACCAGTGATCTCAAATTGTTTTACAACTGATGAAGTATATTTTAATGTGTACGGTAGTCGTCATTGTAATGTAAGAAGTACAGTGGTCTATTTGCATGCAGCAAGCCCTCACTAACAACACCCTCACTAAGATCAGAAAATAGGGGTAACTCAGAAACAGGGATTAAATGTCCTTTAGTTATGAGAGATAATACCCTGCTGGAGGCAAAATCACAACAGCAAAGCCCAGGCTAAAGCATTCAACAACTCTTTCATAACTCATGCTTTCAACAATTACATTTCTAATCATTTCTAATTGAGTCTTAGATGTATTTCAAAATGACATAATACAAGCTGAGAAAACTTTTTTTCATCCTTGCCTTTCCTAATCTTGCAAATCCAATCATGTAATGCTTCACAATGTATGTCATTCCATTGCATTTCATAACCTGTTCCTGCTTCAACGCAATTCTCAATCCCACGAAACTGGTTGGGCTCTCCAGCATTCCAGTTCTGAAATGATACCTATAACAAAGACATAAATAGTTGCTGTTTTAACCTCATAGTGTTTTGAAGTACTTGGAAATAACATAGCTGAATTAACATAATTAAATGGTAAATAAAGGTAGTGTGAGATAACACCAAGTCAGTTTACTGTAACAAACCAAATCTGAAGTTAATTCTTTAAAAACGCTTGCTTTGAATGGATATTGCATGGAAAAGTATATTAAAAAAAATCAGTAACAATCAGAAAGAGCAGATGAGAGATGAAGGATGTTGTTACATTGCATTGCATTACTTCTCCGTTAAAGCAGGAGAGAGAAAAATCATTGTAAAATGGTTTTAATTCATAACAACACTGTAAGAACAGTGTGACTATCAGTTAAATATAGAATCAGATACTGGCCAAATACCAGGGTGAAATATGGCCTTCTAGTCAGTCCAGGCCACTACCCATATAATGACAGTGGACTGAATTTCTACAACTGTAACTGAAGCAGAATCTGTATGGGTAGGTGCTGAGATTGGAGGCCAGACTTTGGCTCTTTTCCACCTGCAAAAATCTTCAGTTGATAAAGGGCAATTGCATAATATACCCGCTCACTACCAGACAGGCTTCTGCTAAACAGCAATGATACCATTGCTATGCTTGCCACAGTAACCTAGCAACAGTGGGTTTAATAGATGCTTGTGTTTGCCTTGCACACAGAGTTGCTAAGTGCTTCAAAAGGGAATGTCACAGGCAGAAATTTACCCTCTGGTTCAAGACCCCAGATTGGGGTCAAATCAGGGTGACAATACTGGACTGGTGGGAAACAGCTCCTGGCTCTGATCTTCCTTGAATTGGGTAATCGTTGGCTGAATGACAAGTTCCCAACTAATTCAGGATTTCAGAAAGATCTTTGAAATCAGAGGGAAAATAGCAGGTCTTCAAACTCAGAAGGCAATGAAGCCAGCAGTTCAGCAGGAGCAAAATGTTGTCTCCATCTTGAGGTTTCTTCTCTGCAAACAACTTTCAAAACTTTAAAATTAAAAAAAAGCCCAGTAGCCAATTGACTATTGTAGAGAGGGAAACTCAATTGCAGCCTGCCACCACAACTAAAGCCAGGTAGAAGGAGTAGGCCTTAAAACATCCTGGGCAGATTATTGTTGCCAGTTTGCAATCAGACTCTAGCAGCTGGTCCCAATGCCTTGAGTATCCTTAAGGACAACTGAAAAAGCAACAGACCTCTGACAACAGGCCTTTTTGTGATCATTAAGAATCCTCAATTGGCTAGATGCTTCCTCGAAAGATGGCCTGTTGATGAGATGGTGCCAATAAACTTTCACACCAGCTGGCAGTGTGGTTTTTATGCCTGGTCACATCTCTATCTTCTCCACCAAAGGTTGAAGATCCTCCCCCAACATTTCAAGAGCAGTTTATTTGCAACTAGTTTATCAGTAATCACAATGTGGTGAAATGCTGCAGGGGAACTGGACTATTTTGAAACCATTTTTAAGAAAAAAAATAAATTTGAAACTTTTCAGCTAACGTTAGTGGCTAACTCATATCATGAGTTATTCATGAGATAGTAGGAACTGCAGATGCTGGAGAATCTGAGATAAC